TGTCTGTCTGTCTGTCTGTCTGTCTGTCTGTCTGTCTGTCTGTCTGTCTGTCTGTTTATCTGTCTCTCTCTCTCTCTGTCTCTCTCTCTCTGTTTTTCTGTTTGTCTGTCTGTCTGTCTGTCTGTCCGTGTCACAGCTCAGAGCAGGTTTGTCTTCTGTCTTGTGTTTATCTTTTGTTCAGTATTTTCAATATTTTAAAGAAACTGTCCTTTTTCAACAATTTGTCCCTTTTTTGTACAGGTGACTTTGAATGTGATTTTGCAAAAAGATTTTAAAGTGAATACGCGTTTTGCTATCTGTCTTACTACTAGTACTAGGTCAGAGGAACATTTTTTGATACTTCAATGTACAAGTTGTTGTTGTTGCTGTAGTTGCTGCTGCTCCTTTTCCTGTGGTTTTTTTTAACTTCTGCTGCTGTTGCTCTCGCCGTTGCTGCTGCTGTTGTTGTTGTTCTTATTGCTGTTGCTGTTGTTGTTGTTGTTAAAGAATTCATTATTTTGTGGAGCGCCAGGTTTCACCATAATGACTCTCAAATCACAACATCAGTGCTTTTTTGTCCTATCTCAATTTTTAATGACAGTGAAAATAGTTCACAACAAAGAGTGAGCTTAAGAAGAAGTCACATTTTTTATGTTAAAAAAATGAAGATAGGACAAGAAAGCACTCCCTAGGTCTAAGTGGGCAACAAGAAATCAGTGAGGTCGTGGTATGTTAACTTACTTATCCACATGCGTCATCATTGTTGGCTTAGAAGGATGACAGTAGTGTACAAATTCCATTGTATGTATTGATGGAACAGTACACATACCATTCTAACCATTGTTTTATGGGCTATTGATTAATTTTGTATAATCAACAGCGAAAGTACACCAGTTTGGAAGGATCAGTTGGAATTAAGTCTGTTTAAAAAAAAATCATTTTATCATGATTATGTTAATTATTTTGTCTTTTTATTTTTTTTCTGACCTTTTAGAGTAAAATGTAGGTTAATTATAATAATAATAATAATGATAATAATAATAATGATAATAATAATAATAAATGACATTTATATAGCACTCAACCCCGAATAAAGTACACTGGCTCTGAGCACTTTACAATACAGTACAACATACAACAGTAACATAAAACGTTGTGTTCTGACTAAAGAAAATTATTCCAAATATTCATCTTATTAATTTAAAAACAGAAACGACTTCAGCTGACATTTGAATGAATCAAAAGATTTGAT